TACTTGTTTAAAGTTAATCAAATGATAGTTCTCTCAATGTCAAATCAGTTGTTGAATACCGAGTCTGATGTTACAGAATAAAATACAGAATAACAGAGTTGGAAGGGACCTTGGAGGTCTTCTACTCCAACCCCCTGCTCAAGCAGGAGATCCTATACCAGGGGTCTGCAACCTTAAACACTCAGAGCCATTTGGACCCATTTCCTACAGAAAAGAAAACACCAGGAGCCACAAAACCCTTCCTGTGCCTGACTATTTCTTGAGCGGCCACAAAACTAGCATATGTAGTTGAATTAAACGTTTGGTTTTCTTCTGAAACTTTTCTTTTCTTGGATTTATCCATGGTTGGCCTACCGGGGATTGAAAAGCTCAATAAATCACGTGCTGGCGGGTGTCACACATTGGCAGTTGTGACACATATTTTGAGTGACAGGGAGCCGCAGCAGAGGGGTGAAAGAGCCACATGTGGCTCCAGAGCCACAGGTTGCTGACCCCTGCCCTATACCATTTCAGACAAATGATTATCAAACCTCTTCTTAAAAACCTCCAGTGTTGGAGCACCCACAATTTCTGGAGGCAGGTTGTTCCACTGGTTAATTGTTCTCACTGTCAGGAAGTTTCTCCTTAGTTCTAGGTTGCTTCTCTCCTTGATTAGTTTCCATCCTTTGCTTCTTCTCCTGCCTTCAGATGCTTTGGAAAATAGGTTGACCCCTGACCCCCTCTTCTTTGTGGCAGCCCCTTAGATATTGGAACACTGCTATCATGTCACCCCCTAAAAATTGTTTTCTTTCTTTTTAATTGCTTATTGCTTAACACATTGTAAGCCGCCCTGAGTCTCCGGAGAAGGGCGGCATATAAATCAAAATTAAAAAAAAAAAATTAACCACGGTCTTGGAGAGGGGAATCTGATCATGCTGATCAAGTTACAGGAACGATGTATGTAATGGGATGGAGATTATAAAGTCCCAGTCTAGAATGCATACACCCATCTAGATATCAATTGATTTTAAAGAAGAAAAGGAAAGTATTCTGGGATTCAGAAACTGTCAGCCCTTCAACGTAAAAACCAAAGTCAACGTAAACCCTTCAACGTAAACCAAACCCTTCAACGTAAAAACCAAAGTCATGCGTGCTAATGCTACTTTTATTATAAAGTTACGGTAACAGAATCTTTACTGTAGGTAAAGGGATGCAGTGGCTCAGTGGCTAAGACAGTGAGCTTGTCAATCGAAAGGTCGGCAGTTCAGCGGTTCGAATCCCTAGTGCCGCGTAATGGGGTGAGCTCCAGTTACTGTCCCAGCTTCTGCCAACCTAGCAGTTCAAAAGCACATAAAAAATGCAAGTAGAAAAATAGGGACCACCTTCGGTGGGAAGGTAACAGCTTTCCGTGTACCTTTGGTGTTTAGTCATGCTAGCCACATGACCATGGAGACGTCTTCGGACAGCGCTGGCTCTTCGGCTTTGAAACGGAGATGAGCACCGCCCCCTAGAGTCGGGAACGATTAGCACATATGTGTGAGGGGAACTTTTACCTTTACCTTTAACAGAATCTTGTGAGACTGGGTTGGGGCCCTCCTTTATCTTCATGAGAACTAGAGAGGGTCTTTCCTGAGACATTATTTTTCTCAGGTTATAATTCTGGCCCAGGTAAATAGATTTCTTTGATCAGGCCTCGGTTGTGGCTCCTGAGTTCCTCAAAATTATTCCTTCCTCTGCTCATTATAGAAACAGCTTGAAGACCGTGTTTAATCGAATTATATAACTGAGGATAGAAATTTTAAAGCCGTTCTTAAAAGACAAGGGTTGGTTTTTGTTTTTTTTTTCTCTCTGAGTCTTTCCTGCATGAGTTTTTTCCTTCTTTCAAGTTGGCTTATTTCAATAGCATGGCTCAGTATAGATAAAGCTTTAGGCAATAGCACGGGCTGCTGTTCTTTGCAAAACCTGTCATCTTGAAGTTTTGCTCCCTTTTCAGTGAATTCCTGCATAAGTTATTTGACGGTAGTGAGCTTATAAAGACAAGGGAGAAATTGCACAATAAGGGGAAGATGGAGACACTCTGAATTTATTTATGTTTTTTTTTTGTAAATATGCATGCTTGGTAAAGGGGAGTTGTTTACAGCAATAGCAATAACACGTAGACTTATATGCCGCTTCATAGTGCTTTACAGCCATCTCTAAGCGATTTGTAAATATAAGAGTCAGCCTATTGGCCCCAACATTCTGGGTCCTCATTTTACCGACCTCAGAAGGAAAAAATTGTAAGTTGCGGGTTATGTGAGTGCAGGATATTGCAAAGCAGACCGGTTACTGAGTGCCCGAAAAGAGGTCGCACGGCTGGGGGCGACATCATTCAAAACTTCAGAACCAGGTCATAAGTACCTTTTTTTTTGGGAGGTGTGTCTCTTGTCATTTTGACGAGTTGCTAAGTGACCGGGAGTAAGTAAAGGACTACCTGTAGTTGCTAGCCAAGTCTGAAATATAGCTCTATGGAATAGCGCCTCAGAGAGAAAGCTTGGCATATGGCATTTTCGCTCTGCATCCTCTCAAACCTGGAGAAACAGTCCTTAGGAAGTTTCTAAATAAATTTCCATGTGGAGGAAGGAAAGAGTGATGTATTGCTTACATATTTATCACTTTTGGCATATTGTTCTCCTGTATCACAATCCTAAACACTAAAAGGACTTCCTCAAAGGTTATCAGGTCCACGGATCTAGCAAGCCTACACTACTGCTTCCTGAAAGTAAATTCAATTATTTCAGTATGATTAATGTCCCAAGATCTAATATTGTTTGTTAAGCTGTGCTGTTCAAAAATAAAATTGCCTCATTTCCTTCTCTGTTTTTCTTCAGTGCAGCTTAATGATGCAGCTTAAGCCAATGCGGAGGTTTCTGGCAAAAATGTCATAATCTTTAAAAAATGTGCGAAGAAGAACACTTAATCCTTGGCTTACAACAGTTCGTTTAGTGACCATTCAAAGTTACCATGGTACTGAAAAAAGTGACTTGTGACCATTTTTTCACACTTATGACTGTTGCAGCCACCTCATGGTCATTCGATCAAAATTCAGGTGCTTGGCAACTGATTCATATTTATGACGGTTGAAGTGTCCGTGGGATCACCTTTTGCAACCTTCTGACAAGCAAAGTCAATGGAGAAGGTAGATTCACTTAACAACCGTGTTACTTGGTGATTCATTTAACAACTGTGGCAGGAAAGCTCATAAAATGGGACAAAACTCACTTAACTGTCTCACTTAGCAACAGAAATGTTGGGCTCAGTTGTGGTTGTAAGTCGAGGATTACCTGTATTGCATTTTATGTTTCTTTATATATTCTCATTTTCTTCCGACATTCAGTATTAGTCCATACATTCTGCTAATCGATGTTGGTTTAATCATGATTGAATAAACCATAATTGGCAGGCTTCCTAGGTTATGTCTAAGACATAAACTACAGTTTACAAACCACAGTAAATATATTAATGCAAGCCGCAAGCCACAATAATGGTATTTATGCAACATACACATCTTATAATGTAATTTGATGTATGAACCCTCTCATTATCTGCCCAGCGTGTAACCTATAGAAACATTTCTCTTAAAAAATGCTCCTAATTCCCAAGTAAGCAGCATGTGAGCTTTCTAAGTTTAATGAATTAGTAAGTTAAATCAATAGAGTGTATGGCTTTTCTTTAAAACAACCATTTTCAGAATTGCTCTGCAGCTGTGCTGTTAAGTACATTCTATTCCAGGTCAATACTGTTAGGGGTGCACATTAAATTAAAGTTTTTTTGAATATTGAGGAAAGGCATACTGTTTTAGTGTTGAAGTGGGACAAGAGAGACCAGTTTTAATTTAACCCTCAGCTGTGAAAACTCTCTCAATGACTTTGATAAGGGCGCTTCTAGCTCAACCTACCACACAAGGTTCATATAAGGAGAAATAGGAAATGGGAACTGCTTGAAGAAAGGCAGGTCAAATGAATTCAGGAAATCCTTGACTTACAGCCGATCCTCACACTTAACAACTATTGCAGGATCCCCATGATCACGTGATCAGAATTCAGGCAACCAGCATGTATTTAGAATTGTTGCAGCATCCCAGGGTTATACAAACACCATCAATAACCTTCCCTGCCAGCTTCTGACGAACATAATTAATGGGGGAAGCTGGATTCGCTTAATGACTATGTGATTCATATAATGACTGAACGATTTGTTTAACAACTGTGGCAACACAAGGCCGTAAATTGGGTCCGACTCACTTAAAAACTGTCTTGTTGAACAATGGAAATTCTGGTCACGATGGCCAATTGTGGTCATAAGTTGAAGACTATCTATAATTAATAAGTTGAATTTATTTTAAGTATTAAAGCAAGAGCCGTGGTGGAGTGGTGGTTAGAATGCAGTATTGAAGGCAAACTCTGCCCACAGCCTGGGGTTCAATCCTCACCAGGCTCAAGGTTGACTCAGCCTGCCATCCTTCCGAGGTCGGTAAAAGAGGACCCAGATTGTTGGGGACAATATGCTGACTCTGTAAACCGCTTAGAGCAGTGATGGCTAACCTTTTCCGGATCGAGTGCCCAAAGTGCATGCATGCACGAGTGGATGTGTGTGCATGCGCCCAAACCGACAAACTGCAATGCACGCACGGGCTCCGCTCATGTGCCCTGCCCCCAGAGCATGTGCGTACCCCCATGGATGTGTGCATGCCCCGTGTGCACTCCCTGCACATGCGCACGCAGCCTGCATGTGCATGCCCGGCAAAGACCTGAAGACCAGCTGGCCAGCGGGAGGTGCATGCACATGCACAGCAGAGCTGAACTGGGGCAACGGCTCGTGTGCCATCAGAGAGGGCGCTGCGTGCCACAGGTTCGCCATCACGGGCTTAGAGAGGGCTGTAAAAGCACCATGAAGTGGTATATAAGTCTAAGTGCTATTGCTATTTAAACCACTTGGGAGCTGCTTGGAGAGTTCACAACAAAACACACTTAAAAAAAATATAATGTGAATAAAAACCTATATAATAAAATGCAAAATAAAAATACCACATTAAAACTAGGGCACATTCAAAAGTTAAAACAATTCTTCTTCCTCTTGTGCCGTATCCATCATCGGACGTTGGCGATCATGTTGGCAATCCTATTTTTGTCAACAGCCGTATGAAAAAGTGTTGCTGAGTTTTGTCCAATCCAGTCCCTTAGGTTTTGAAGCCATGATCATCTTCTTCTGCCCGGACCTATTGTTAAAACAATAGGAATTAAAATATGAACGATTAGCCAATTTAAAAGCCTGGGACCATAGAAAGCTCTTGACAGTGAAATGATTTTAGTGGGGGGACCAGTTGAGCCTCTCTGGGGAAGGTTTTCCATAAGTGGGCCACCTCAGAAGAACTTCCCCATTATAGAAAACCACCTCACCTCATTTGTCAAAGGGAGGAAGCCTCATTGCAAGCTTTTTAAGTCCAGACAGATACATTACAGTATGGGAGAAGCTCCTTCATTCAGGTAACCTGGTCCTAAGACTTTAAGAGTTTAAAAGGTGAAGAGTTGTGTCCCAAAAAACCAGCATGAATGGAAAAGACCTGGAATAATATGTACCTAGTGAGCAGTCAAGCTGCTGGGTTTGATATTAATTGACGTCTCCAGATCATTTGAAAGGCAGTCCCTTGTACAGTGTGTTGCAATAATCCAACCAGAAGTTATCAGAGCATAAACACTGCATCTGTTACAAAGTTCTCCATCCAGTAAAGTTGTAGTTGATAAATAAGCACAGGCTGATAAAAGGAACTCTGTGCCACAGAGGCCAGTTGGCTTCTAGAATCACCCCGCAAACTGTGAACTTGCTCCTTTAGAGTGAGTGCAGATCCCTCCAGAATTGAATAGGGGCTTCTGGTTAGGACCTTTGTGGCTTTTTGAATGTTTAAGGTTGCCGATCCCTGTTCTAGGTTGATTCTCTTCTTGATGAGTTTCCATCCATTGCTTCTTGTCCTGCCTTCACATGCTTTGGAGAATAGGTGACAGCCGGTGGGATTGTGATAGTGCACAAAAAAATATAGGAGATGGTGTTTAGAGATATTAGAGCGCTTCTGAATGTAAATTTAGATATGTCACTGAGGATTGCATTACTGTTGCTGGTGGAAAAACAGGATATAAATGAAACAAAAAAAGGATTGATTGTAAATTTGATAATGGAAACTAGCTTAGTGATGGCTAAATATTGGGGACGAAATTGGGATATTCAAAGAAATGAGTGGTATAATGAATTATACCGGAGTACGGCAACAAATGATAAATTAACAACAGAAATTAAATTTAAAAAAGGGATGATTAAAACAAACAATTATAATGAAATATGGGGGGATTTTATAAAAACAGTGCTGGTGGAAGGCAAAGGGAATAAACCTACTCAAGAATATATGTTGTTTTGGAGGGGGATAAGGGCACAATTGGAATATATTGTATATCTTTTAGTTTTTATAGAAGAAGAAATATAAGAAAAAAATGGTCTCCGAGGTGGGGGGTGCACTGTAATATTTGTATTTTTTTCCTTTTTTTTATTTAGATGTATATGTACTATGTTTATATTATTTGTATTTAAAATAAAAAACATTTTTAAAAAAGAGAATAGGCGACAGCCTATTTTTTGTGACAACCCCTCAGATATTGAAGCACTCCTATCATGTCACCCCTGGTCCTTCTTTTCATTATACTAGACATATTCAATTCCTGCAACCGTTCTTCATACGTTTTAGATGTTAAAGAGCATAGAATGGAGCCAGTGGTGGGTTTCAAAAAATGTTGCTACCAGTTCAGTGGGCGTGGCTAGGTGGGCATATGACTGAATGGGCGTGGCCAACTTGATGTCACTCACATCCATACCCACTCAATCACATGATCCCCCCCTAGCCACGCCCACAGGAAAAGGTAAGAAAATGTTTGGAATTTCCATCTATCTACCCCCGCCCTCTTTTTGCCAGTCACCCCTGTTTCCCCTCCATTAGTGGCCCCGGCCCTAGCCCCACTTCCTCTCCCACCACTGCCTCTTTGTTCAGGCTGCTTACCTTCCACGGTGGCTGATCCAGGGTCTGGAAGGCAAGCTGACTGGAGTTTTTGGCGGCCCCAAGCCAGTCGCTGCTGTAGGAAAGCGGCTGGCTGCAGGCCGCCAAAAAGTACCATCAGAGGTCACGGAAAAAGCTGCTGCCATCGCCGCCATGTTCTTCACGCATGTACATCCCATTGGACTTGCAAGGCAATGGGATGCGTGTGGGCAAAGAACATGGTGATGAACATGGCAGGCGGGGCGAGTGAGCAGTGACGGGGGGACTGGTTCAGGCGCATGGCCAGCCGGCTATCGCTACCGGTTCGGTGACCTTGGCCAAATTTCCACCAACGGTTCATGCGAACCGGTGTGAACTGGCTGAATACCACCTCTGAATGGAGCCCTTGGGAACTCTAACTGCCATTTGACAGAAGAATTAGTCCCCAAATCACCTTCTGGAAATTAGGGGTGGACTCACCATAGTAAAGTTGCCCTCATCACAACTTGTCCTGGAGGAAACTATAGTCAATGGTACTGAAACCTAGTGCAGGAGACCCAATTGGATCTTTTTCTCAGCACAAGTCATCGGACAAGCCCATCAAGACAATATCTATTCCCTAGTTAGGTTGGGGACTACTGTATATTGAAATGGATCTAGAAAATCATTTCAGTTTCATTCATTTTAATGAAGACGTTGAAGGAAACAAACTCAGTGCAAGTGCTTTTGAGCAGAAATAATTTCTCCAACCTGAATATATAACAGCACACTGAATACCCTACCATTTTTTAAAAGATCATAGGAGAGCTTGTTGACAAGATTTAATGAGACAGGTGAAAGTGAGATATCTGGGTGAAAGTTTATTGGAACAAGTGTTGTGCATTTAAAATGCAGAACATATATATATGTTTACATATATATATGTAAAGAAAGAAGCAGACATCCTGCAAGCTCCGGAACTTAAATTTTTTTTTTAAATTTTTAAACTTTTATTAATTTAAGAAACCACATAATACATTTATAAATGCAAGTAAAACAATTTACAACAAGCATCATCTTAATGACATCTACCTATAATATCTGAATTGTTACAATATCAATATCCTATATTCTTCAATATACAATATTTCTCTCACCTTGTATAATGATATTATTTTATTGATATGTTGTGTCTCTTTCTTAAATTTCATTTGATGTAAAAAATTATTTTAAAATTTTAAGTTCTGGAGCTTGTAGGATGTCTGCTTCTTTCTTTACTAATATACCTGGAACTCGTATTTTTAGAATAGTTTTGGGGTGCATATTTTGATCCAATCAGATTTTAGTCTGTTTCATACCCGTCTAGTGGGGGAATCTTACAGAAAGCAAAGAAGATCAGGAAGATAAATAATAAGGGAGGGATTGATGGAAGGAGGGGAATCCTCAGAAAGCCACCAAGATCTCTGTGAAGCGTGATAGCCCTTCTACAGACAAGATCTCCTCTCCCATTAGCAGCTAATGGTCTCTAAAAGGAGAGAATTTTCCTCCCCCTTTTTAATTAGTGATCTTTAGTGGAACCCACCATTTACTGTTGGAACAGAATGGATGGCCGGCAAAATGTTTTGTGGCTCTGGGTGCCTCCCATCTTCTCTTTTGCACCTGGCAAGTGTTCTCCAGGACAGAAAGCGATGAGGAAAGTTTGTGTGTCTCACAAAAGAGGAGAAAAATCCAGAAGTCCAGGAGAGGAGTCAAGGCCATTGTCAGGAATACAGGAAATAAGATCAGGATGCTCAGGATATGCCAGTGATTTTCTCAAGGACTTAAGAAGACAACTTCTTCATCCATACTGGGTTTTTAGTGGCTGACAGCTTAATATTTCTGAGACATCGCTATTTTGGGTTTGGACATAATGGCCACTTTCAGATCTGTGGTTCTGTGAGTTTGTTTTTTAACTCAATCATTTTGCTATTGTGATGTAGTGCTTCTAAAAATTGTCAAATTAACTCTGCTGCTGAAGCCAGAATGTATGGAGACACACTCAAAATTTAATTCCGTTTTGATTAATTCTCCTCAGCCCAGCCAGTTCTGCTCAGCAGCAACGTAGGCCAATTATGTTCCTTTTAAAAATTAATTGTAGATGTTTATTTTAGTCCGTAATATAAATATACTGTCAAGTGTACTTTTTAAAAAAAAAATTGAGAAGACCAATGTGGTTATTAAAGCTATTTGAATGCTAAGGGCGGAGGATTGAGCCAACCTTCTAAACTATCGTTAGATTGTTAGTTAAACATGCATGGGATTGCACAGTTAAGGCGCTAATGTTTCTGTTATGGAAACTTTTGCTCTGTTTTTTTTTCTTATAGAAAAGAGGAATGTGGATAGAAAGATGAGGAAATGCTAAATTATCAAAGACCCAACTCTGAAAAATTGATCAACGCTGATTTTTAAATTTAGGAACAATGTAGATATCCCATGTCTAAAAGTATATCCCAAAGATGCTTATCAAAATAGCAATAGACTTAGATTTATATACTGCTTCACAGTGCTTTACAGCTCTCTCTAAGCGGTTTACAGAGTCAGCCTATTGCCCCTGACAATCTGGGTCCTCATTTTACTGATCTTGGAAGGATGGAAACTGAGTCAACCTTGAGCCGTCGAGACTCGAACTGCCGAACTGCTGGCAGTCAGCAGAATTAGCCTGCAGTACTACATTCAAATCACTGTGCCACCATGGCTCTATCTGGACTTAGTTTTTTAAAAAACAACAACAAAAAAAGTCCTGTTGCTGTTTGAAAAGCATCTTTGAGACAACCATGATCTGGATGACTGAGAATCTCTTCCACACCACAAAAATCATTTGTAACAGAAATTGCCCCCTGTTTGTGTGCCGAAGATTGGGAGGGTTGATGGCCAGCTTATATAGAAGACACCAGGCTGAGATGGTTCCTTTTTTCTTTCTTTCTGTTTTGGTAAGAAGGCTATTATAGATTTCACAGCAGTGGTGGGTTTCAAAATTTTTTACTACCAGTTCTGTAGGTGTGGCTTGATGGACGTGGCATGGCTTGGTGGGCGTGGCCTGGTGGGTGTGGCAGGGGAAGGATACTGTAAAATCTCCATTCTCACCCCACTCCAGGAGAAGGCTACTGCAAAATCCCCATTCCCTCCCGATCAGCTGGGACTCGGGAGGCAGAGAATAGATGGAGGCGGGGCCAGTCAGAATTTTTACTACCGGTTCTCCGAACTACTCAAAATTTCCGCTACCGGTTCTCCAGAACTGGTCAGAACCTGCTGAAACCCACCTTTGTTTCACAGGCACGATTTTAGACCTTTTTATCTGAAGGAGCAATATACAGTATTTGGAAGGCACTTGCTTTTGTGAGGAAACTCTGTCTATAGTCAAAAGAGTTAAAAGTTCTCAGCTAACAGGCAAGATGGCCAATTCACCGCTGCCTTTTAAAAGGTACAGCTGTACACATTCTTTTGACCTTGCCAATCATAATAATAAAAAAAGGAATGTGCAAACAAGTTCCTAGATTGAAGATGATTTGCTAGGAAAGATGGCTGTTAGAAGCTCCTCCTTCTTGGCAAAGAACTCATTGTTCTGCCAGACTTGTAGATAGCAAGTCATAGGGGCAGTGAGGGTGGACCTTGTGGGCTTGGCTTGTGTCGAAAATTCAGAAAACGCCTATCTCGACT